CCAGTTAGGATGTAAAAAAACACCCAGTTAGGATGTAAAAAAACATCCAGTTAGGAAGACACACAACTCTCTGCATGCTTACAAATAAGAGCTCAACAATGTCTCCTTAGGTACTTTCTCAATTTATGTTCCCTAAATTGATATTAACTGCACCTAAAGGCATACATTTGTACTTTTAGAGGCCATGAAAGGTGCACTTATGTCCCAAATAATGGACAAACTACAAGGGAACAACAGCAGGAGCTTTGAGTGTACCAACCAAGTGAAAAGTCTTTGGACCCCTTAAGGAACAATGAGGCCTTTTTTCTGAGAGAGATTGCTCCATTTCAGCTACAATATATTTACCTGAATGTATAACCTGAATGCTCAAAAGCTAAATGACGGCTTCTTAAAAAGTTGCTCAAACGTTTGTCTTCTTAGGCCGTTGATTGAGATCCAGAAATTACTCATTTGAGTGGTTTTTGGACCGGTTATGAATCATGTGTAGTGACCATGGTTGTGTCCATCAGTCTACTACTTGAATAAAAACATTTTTAAAAGACCAACTGTATGTTTATGAAGGAGGAAAAAAGTCTAAGAAGACATTTGATTGCCATGTTCTGAATTTAACAATTAACAAGTGTTGAAATTAGTTTGAAATGTTACTTGCACAGTGTTAGCTTTAGCTTAGCATAATGACTTGATTTGAATGGAAACGTTAGCCTGCCATTAGAAATACATATCTTTGACAACTATTTGACGTATCAATAGTCAATGTAGGATAAATTATAGCATTAGTAATATAAACTTTATATTTGGAGCAGCTACCATTATCGTATTTGTGTCCACTACAAATGCATGCCACTCTATTCCATGTGTATTTGGAGCCATTGTGCTTAGATATATCCATCAAAAGAGTGGTTTGGATTTCGGTAAACCATCCTAATAATAAGGTCTTACTAACAATGGCAGCTGGAGAAGTGAAAAGACGCTTCATTTACGGAAATCATAGTTTGAATGGAGTTTATCAGAGTGAATCATCCACATCCGGCTCGAGACAAACCTCCACCTGGTTAAAGGGTTTTAAAGGCGTCACATGGGTTTAATGGGGAATAACGCTGACCAGTCTTCTAAAATACCTCTCATCTTTTTTGCTGGCAGCTTGTTGGAGTCCTACTTAAGTAAATCACGATTAGTTAGTTTAAATCAGCCAAATGACAATTGACAAAGGGATACTGCTAGGAATCCTAGAGGGACAAAAAAAAGGAGCAAAAACTGACATAATGTCGTAATTACAAAGAGTTAATGCGGGACCTTCATATTCTGAACATTTCCATCTGAACTTTGGTGCAAAATGACCGTTCCAAACAGGATTTAGTCTCCAGATTGGGGCTTAATCGCACTTATGATGTGCGGCCATTCTCTCATTGTCCACTGGTCCAGAGGTACAAACAACAGTGTGTGTTTGTGGACGTGGAAAGCTGACAGAAGGCCTGGCTGCTTTCCTCCTGGGGCGCATTTCTGTGATTAGATGAACCGAACCGGGACTAAACCTGACACTCTGCTCCCAGCTGATGAATTAATGATCACCTGAACGGGATCGTCTGTCACATCCGTGTGATGTGATATGAAAACCTGCTCGCACTGATCAGGAGGCAGCTCAGAAACTCCTTATGTAACCACAAAGTTAGTGTTGTAACACAACTGAGGGCAGCAAAATTGTCTATTGATATTATTTTGGTTTCGGTCCCTCTGTTGAATGGGGGCAGAGGCAACAATAGCTTCTATGGTGCTTTACTGCCTGGTAACCATTATTCTCAAACAAATAACTTCCTTATGAAACAATTATTAACTCGGTAATCTGACCCTGTTGATCATAAAAGGTTTATGCCACACTGTTTGGAAAATGACCAACATAAATCCACCCACAGCAGGAGAAAGAAACCTCCCAATTTCCCGGTTTTCTTCCAGTCATCCTGTCTCTCGTTACTTTTTGTGTCATCTAAGAACACATAAAGGCTTTTGATTGTTTGTCTCTGCTTATTCTGTCATTTATTCGCACGAAGATGCAGGCGTATGACAAAACATGTGATGATTTATCCAAAGGTCGGGAGGGGGAGCAAAGCTGTTCCAGAGAAGCTGCCTCTCATGTCCGCCGGATGGACTTTAGTCCATTTGCTTCCTTATTCCATCAAGTGGAACAAAAAAAAACATATTGAAGGGAATAAAGATTATTATAGTAAATCAGAAACTTCTGATTTCTTTCTTTTCTGTAAAACAGAAAAAAAAAATTTGCTTTAGTTTTAAATTAGCAGAGCTGTTTTTTTCAAAAGAAGAAGTCTAATAAAATGACTTTGTGTGAATTAAAGGAGAATTCAAAGTTCCAGTAATGAACTTATTCAAGAAATGGTTTTAAAGGTAATTTTTTGTCATTTTAAAAATGTGAAAATATTCAATTTTTCAGTTTTTTTTCTAAATCATGCATGAATAAATGTTTTTTAAACATTTTGTGGGATAAATCTGGTCAGTTGAGATGTTTTTATAGTCCCTAATTGACAGATTAAGTAGTTCAACAGACACAGGATGAAAACCTTTACTGTTGACCAACCAAACAATGAAGGTTTGTTTTGTAGAGGGCAGATCAGAACCATCCAACCTTTCCAACATTGCATTCGAATCGTGTCTTTTTGTTCATTGATGTTTATATTCTGGACATATCTCATCAGATCTGAGCTGTAAGAGCTGAAAAAGCAGTAAATTGATCAATCGCTGCTCCTATGGAGAATTTTAGGCGTTTCGAAGGGCTGTAAGGAAACAAAGAGGCGGAAAAATCTCCCTTTGCTGTGGTTTTTCTTTATCGTGCAGCGCCCATGCAAATACGAATTTTTGCCCTTTGCAGTTGATCAGATTCTTATCTGGACCACGTGAGGTTCGACACCAGGAACCACCGACCCAGAAACCTTCAACTCACAGATTCTGATTTAATGTTTCTCTGTGGTTTATCAAAACCCGCCTCTTTTTCTGTGCCTCAAACTGGACCCAGAGCTGCTGAACAGCTTGTATTTCTGACTTGGTTGTGTACAGACGCTCGGGTAACAGATAGTTTCCCACCAGGAGGAGCTTTTACGAGCCTCAGCTTCTTCATCCCCAGATGTTACAAAACAAATTCCCCTTTTCTGGTTTCAGAGGCCGGCTGCTGGAAAAAAAAACCCTTTTCCACAGAGCCTTTACATCTTTTTTTGTTGACGTTCCATCGAGCGGTTTCTGGGCAGCACTTTCCATGCAGAACAACATAAAAGAACAGCAGAATATGCCCTCATATTTCTATTTTTTTTTTTGTGGAATGTTTGACTTAGATGTGACCTTTGAGACAAAAACTCCTGTTGACACAAAAGAGGCCCCCTCCACGGTTTCTTTTTAATAAGTTACCTTGTATTCTGCCGCTATGTGTGGGTGAGCTGCTCCGCAAAGCCTCGCAGATCACAGAGGGAAGGTAACTCTGTGGCCACATTCGGGAATCACTAACCGGAGGGTTTTCCAAGGGCACGGAGGCCCTCATAAAGACGCCCGAGGCTCAGTACATTCTCAGGTTTCCGTCCTCGTGCCAAACTCCTGATCAGAGCTGATGACTGAGTTTTTTTTTTTATATCATCATGCAAAGTTTTTCCCTGATCCTCCGATTTTTTTGGGGCTGGCACTTCAGGGAAGTGGCTGAAAGTTTTTTACTTTTAATGGCGGCAAAGTCCAACAGAATCTGGACTGTTATCACTTTTATGACCAAGCGGGTGGAAATATTAAATCAGGCGGGCGCTACAGTTCCAGGAGATTTAAAGGTGAAATGGCTGCACGCCGCCATGTTAAAACATTTGACAGCATGTGTCTTTAGGATATTAGGCACAGCGAGGCAAATTTATTTGTATATCACATTCCGTGTAAAAAACAATTCACAGTGCTTTACATACATTACATATTATGCAACAAAAAAAAACCTCTCCAAGTGTTTCATGTATGGACATAAAACAAATAAATGAAGCAAACACACACTTTGGTGAAACTGAAACCATCGATGTTTGTTATTTTTGGCCTAAATTTTCTCAGAAGTCATTATTAAACTCTAAAAAACCGTAATTATACATGTTGAAATATGAATTTTATCCTGTAAAAACTCAATTTTACCTTGAATAAACAGGAAAATGCAACAATTTTGCAAGGCGTCAATTGTCTATTTGTACTTTTTCCCGTGTCATTTTATTCTTACTGAGGCTCCATCTAAGTTAATGTTCCATAATATAAGATGAGGCAGCAGATTTATGCATTTGAGGATCTGAAAGTATCAAATACTTCTGCCTGTATGCATCTGGTTAAGTCTGACCTGATGTATTTCAAACAGAATTGTTAAAGTACTTAACCTGATATTTAAGAGGTGAAACCGCTTTGTAGCTTCACCTGTTTTCTTACCTTATAGACGATAAATTGCCTGGAGGAGAATCTATCAGATGTGAAACAGTCCGGGCATGCTGACAAAACCTTTTTTCTTCTTCTCTTTGTGGTACTGTAAAGTTCTTCCTGTCCTCAGGTGATTGTGAACAGGTGCAGCATCTCTGTGCCTCTCCCTCCTACATTGTCCCTCTGGGCACCACTTAAACACACACCCTCCTCAAACACACACACACACACACACACACACACACCTAAAGCCCGCCCAGCTAAGAGCGGCCCAGACCTGGTCTCAGGCTTGTCCACATCAAAATGACCGGTAAAACTAAGCCTTAGAGGTGAGCAGCAACTCCAACTCCAGCATTGTTTAAATGAGTAATTTTGAAATAACAGAATAAAGTTTGCTGATTTATTCACGTCGCCCTGTTGTTGGAGGGAACAGAGGCACAGATAGAGCTGCTTTGCATGTGTGTACAATCGCGGACAGTAAATGGAAGCTCGCTTTGCAAGCTGGTCACCATTCAAATTAACCAAAGTGGGCCAGCAGGCGGAGAAACACAGAAGAGATTTAAATACGCGACAATGTTGTTGTCCAATCTGATGTCAATGGACACTTGAAAGAGGTTTTCAATCCTTTTATATTGAAATAAAACTGTGAACTGTTTTTTTTAACCAGGTTAAATTTATTTTTATTTAACTGACAATTGATGACTGATATTTGGATGTTAAGTTTTGGATGCTGAAGGAGCTGCTTATTGCTGTGGTAGTTTCCTGTTAGGGCTGGGACGGTGTTCCACACACAAAGCACAAAATAAAGCCAGAAAACTGTTTTTCACAAGTAAAAGAAAATGAAGAAAATGTTTAGATAATGTTTAGATAATGTCAGTTTTCAGTTTACAGTTATCTTTGAATGCCTTTTGTCAAGTCTTCGTTCTTCTGAACTATACAAACACAACGTACATTGATTTTAAGAGGATTATTACAGATACATAATACAGTTTGAAATTCATGAAGGAAAAAACAAACAGAAAGAAAATATTTACATACAGGAGAATATTCCTGATAAATAGATTAAAAGTAATTTCATGAGCACTTGAATAAAAGGAAGAAACCGTTTAAATTTGTGTACTTTAAAGTTAAATTTGTCCTGTTTTTTCTAATTCTCCCAATATTTGGGAGAGATCATTTAAACTCAAATTGGTCTTATATTCTGTTTTAAATAGGAAACTCTATATTGCCTATAAGTAACCTTTGACTTATATTAATATATTAAATATTCTCCATGTAGTTCAGTTTATCTGATGTAAATAGATACGATCAACCAGACAATGAAGTGTCGCCTCCTGGCGACATGTTTTATGTACGGCATCGAAGCCCGTCAAGCCCTAAACCAATCAGATGAGGCTTTCAGCATAGTCCTCAGCCATTGGTCAATTACTTTGCATAGCAAACCACCGCCTGCTTTGATTGGTCCACCTTCTTTAACGTGTCATAAACAGAGAAATCCGGATGGTAACGTTAGGATACATAGATATAAACATTTAACACAAATGAATCGGGGGAATTTAGGGTTGTAAAGGAAAATAAACCATGGAGGTGAGTTTAAATATGCTCTGTCTTACTCACACTTACCTATTTGCTGTATTATTGAGCCTGTTAGCTAACATTAACCTGCTGAATCGCAATCAAAGTTCAGTAAAGTGAACAAGAAACACACTTATGATTTATTATGTGATCAATTAACACTTTATCTGCTATTTATATGTATATATAATGTTCTTTTATACATTTTACGTTGCCTGTCTAACTGTCCAGGTTGTTAATCTTCCCATTTTAATCTATACGCACACAGGAGAGAAAAAGTGAAAATTACCTTATGTTTGGACTCTTTTCTCTCCAACAGAATATTCAAAGTCTTCCCATTGATATTCAGACCAGTAAGCTTTTAGGTAAGTACAAAAATGTAGGTTTAAATGTGTAGCTGTGTATAATGATCCTTCCATATGCTTCAGGCTTAATTTGCTGCCATGTTTATGCTGTCTGGGGCAGATTAAATGATTCCACATGCATGAAGTGGCTCCTGTATTTCATGAGTAATTGTCGATTGCAGACTGGCTCCTGGATCGACGTCACTGTGACGTGAAGTGGCAAAATGCGGTGAAGGGAATCAGAGAGAAGATCAACGCTGCCATTCAGGACATGCCCGAGAATGAGGAGATCAAGCAGCTTCTGTCCGGCTCCTGTAGGTCCACCATCACAAAACCGATTGTGCTTTAAAACGAGACCCAAGAGGATTTTCTGCTCAGCATTTTTTGTTCATTTCCAGCATCATTGATCGCCAGAGTCTCTTCTACTCTGGGAGTTTCAGGAAGAATTGGGAGGATCAGTTAGACTTGACTTGGGTTTACATATTTATATCTTGGATTTTAGTGTGTTGTTCTGCATAAACCTATTTGACAATGGGTATTTTTTAATAAAAATGTAGTGATATAATACTATTGCTCATCTTAAATAACTTTAAAAAAGGCTGCTACTCGGCCTTTCAAAGGTCTGTTGGGTGTTTTTTTTAGAGTTAATGTTTCCCTTATAACATTAAATTGTTTTGTTTTTTATGGTAAATTACCTGTAATAAAATGTATTAATGTCTCTTTCTATTTTGTGTTTCATATTTGCAGACATTCACTACTTTCACTGCTTGAGGATAGTGGAGATACTGAGGGGAACTGAGGCTTCATCAAAGAACATTTTTGGCAGATATTCATCTCAGAGGATGAAGGTGAAGGGATTCAGAAAATATCCTTTTTCTTTGTAAAAAAAAAAAAAGGAAAGAGCTCCTGAAATATTTATTTTGTGTCATTTCTGCTTTTGTTTTTCACAGGACTGGCAGGAGATTGTGTCCCTTTATCAAGCAGATAATATCTATTTGGGTGAGTGTAAACAGAAATAAAGGCAAACCTCATAGCTGTGTGTGTTCCGTGAGGTTACACAGCTTCCAGCTAAAGGAAGTAAGCACTTACATGCAGAAATCCTCAATAACGAAAGCTGTCTCTCCTCTCAGCCGAAGTGGCCAGCTTGTTGATTCGTAACGTCAGCTACGAGGGTCCGGCCCTGAGGAAGCAGCTGGCCAAAGCTCAGCAGCTCCAGCAGGAGCTCAGCAGGCGGGAGGTGGAGTGCCAGAGCTCTGCAGCAGAGCTGAGGGAGAAATACTTTACGGCCTGCAAACAGTACGGCATCACTGTGAGTGACAAACACAGGGGAGGACTAGTTAGTCTAACACAGACGAAGACAAGAAGAACTTAATACAAGTAACAGGGGAGGACTGGGGGACAGAAGTTTATGTTTATGTTTATGCATTTGGCAGACGCTTTTATCCAAAGCGACTTACAGAGTAGACACAATATTACATTGATCATCACTATGATTATAAGCTATATAGAGGAGAAACACTGATCAGAGTCAGTGGTGAGATAGAGCAGTGTTTTTCAACCACTGTGCCTCGGTACACTAGTGTGCCGCGAGTGATGGTCAGGTGTGCCGTAGAAAATCCTCCTATTTCACCTCATTGGTCTAAAAAGATTTTTTGATAAGGAATTAATTATCTGCAAATAATATTCCATTTTTGAGTGTCTGTGCTGTTCTAGTGACTGGTGGCGTAATCATGTAATAATTCCTTATGACTAGATTTTGTATTTAATTTTGCCTATTGAATTGGACATGTTAAGAGCAATTTGAAAGAAGAAATATAAAATATGATAAAAATATTTTTTGTGTTTATTTGATTCCTATTCGAGACACTTAAGATAAGATAAGAATAACTATAGTGTTACTATAGGCGGCTACAGATTTGTTTGACATTTTTGGTTGGTGCTGTGCCTCGTGATTTTTTAAATGAAAAAAGGTACCTTGGCTCAAAAAAGGTTGAAAAACACTGAGATAGAGATAGAAGTAGAGGGGACTACAGAAGGAGTTGTGGGGGGGATAGAGGTACGGAAGCCCAGAAGTCTCCGTAAGTTTTGTTACCAGATAAAGTAAATGACCCCCCTCCCGTTTTTTCTACAGGGTGACAATGTTCCTCGAGAGCTTCAGGCTCTGGTGAAAGACCTGCCTTTGGTCCTGGAGGAGGTGGGAAAGGACGCGGCAAAGCTAGAGGAGCAGATTCAGCTTTACGCCGCGTTCACAAACTTTGTGTGCGACTGGTGAGGAAATCGCCGAGAGACAGACGGCTCCGGCAGGATTTTGTGTGTTTGTCCTCATATGTTGTCATCTGTAGGTCCGGACCAGTCCTTCCCATGCTGACGTTTGCCCAGAAGAAGGGGAATGCAACGTTTTATGAGTGGAAAACAGGAAGAGTGCCCACAGTTGTTGAGAGGCCGGTGGTGGAGGAAGCTGCTCCCGAGGCAGCCGCAGACGATGCGGTTAGTTTGGCTCTTTATGGAGTATTTTAATGAGAATAGTTATAGAAATGTTTTTTTTCACTTCTGTTTTTATTGTTATTTTCATTATTCAACAATACACCAGTCATCTCCAACTATCTGTTCAATACAACAGACTTATCTAGCTAATTCCACAGGATATACAGATAGGGATGAATCACACACACACACACACACAAAAAGAGATTAATAAATATACGAACATAACTCCTTTGGTTAAAACCAAAAATGCTGGGGTGTGCTTCTGTTATGCAATGGGCAAATTAAGTAAATAATTCTATAGTTATATAAGTCAAAGTATTTGACATTTCACTCTAGAGTTAAGAGCGTTGAGCTCTTTTTGAATGGACATTATTCCTATCATGCCTTTCTTTTCATATGATTCAGATTATCACAGTCAGTAAACACTGACACCCTCCCAACATTTTAACCTATTTTCCTTGTAAAATGTTGTTAAATATCTGTGCAATCTGACCAATGCAGAGTTCAACTTGCTGTACGTCATCTTTCTGATATCAGAATCTTACAACATATGGGAACAGGATCCCAAACAGATGCTTATCAGTGCTTCACACACAGCAAAATCATGCAATTTTCAATGCAAACTGCTCATTTCTGATGTAGATATTCTGATTCATCTTTCTTCCTCACAGCTGGACAGAATTTTTAGCTCATTTTTGGCTGGGATGGAAATCCCAGATACCACCAGCATCCCACTGGAAATGTTCAGTCTTTGGATTTTCTAAGCTCACGCTCTTTGTTTGTGTGGGTCTGCTTCAGCCTCTGCTGCTTTGAGATATTTAACCTGCTGTGCATTTTCTTTTCTAATCTGCCTCAGATTGACTGGGGGGACTTTGGGAGAGGAGCGGACTCCCTGGGTCTGAGTGCAGGCATCACAGTGGAGGACGGGATAGACTGGGGCATCAGTTCAGAGCCAGCGTCTGAGGTGAGCCTCTCAGACATGTTTTTGTGTATTTATATATTTATTTATCATTGATATACTATTATTATTATAATATATGTTATTCACAAGAATTAGATAAGAAGTTACAACTGTTTACAAGTTTTTTGTTTCAACATTTTTGCTATTTCGACATGTGTAAACATGTTAAAGTATTCTCAGAAATACAGTTCATCTTTATTTTAGGCCACCATAATTGCACCGCTGGCAGACTTGAAGAATTTAATTTTTCAAAGAGATCAATTCAATCTGAATCAGGTGTGATGAGGCCCTTTAGCTTTACATTAGACATTGTACCAAAACATTATTGTTCTCTGAGAGTGAACAAAAAAGCAGAGAGATCGTAGTCTCTTTTCTAACTTCCGGTAAGTAAAGTTTATTTTTGAAGCACTGTACAAAAAAGGCCTAAAATAACTGTGGAGATGAAGCTCTCTTTGTATGTACACACTTTAAGACAGACTTAAGACGCCTCTGAGGGCCATAAATCACAGATTTAATCACATAGAGGGCCTTAAAGGCTATTTTCAGGGTGCCTGCCCACAACAATGAGCTACACCTCCCCCAAAATTCAAAATGTCAAGGCACCATGGAAGGTTTTGTGAGAGGACTTTATAATTTTCCTTGAATCGACATAATACTTTTTTTTTGTGTTAAACTCCGTGAGGGAAGCGTAAACAAATGTGGCAAAAAGTAATAAAAAATGGGTAAAATCCCACAAATCTGCTACATTTTGGCTCCCAGACTCGCCCCCCGTCCCAAGCTGACAAAAACAGAGCTGTGAAAAGATCTTTTTCTGGTGATTTACAGTTTTTGGCCTCATTCGCTTTAATGAATTCAAATGAACTCATTTAGATTATGATGGGTGTTGTTGATGAAGGGGTGCTGGGGTCCATCTGTGAGGGGCTGGGGGTGTCTCTGAGACGAGGCCCTCATCAATCAGTCTCTCTTTTGTCTCCTTCCTCAGGACACCGGTGCAGACGCCATTGACTGGGGTGACTGCGAGGCGCCTCCCGTTGAGATTGAAATCGTAGATACAGGCACAAACTGTGAGTAATTCGGAAATAATCACCATTACACGGCTCGGGTTTTGAAGCCCGTAGATCCTGAGGATCGGCGTTTAATCTTTTAGGTCCTGAGGGTGTGGCTCGGGGGGAGGACGCTCTGAGCATCCTGGAAAACGCTCAGTCACGCAACGAGTTCATCGATGAGCTAATGGAGGTGAAAACTAGTCATCCAGAGTCCAGTTACAAAGATATAAACCCACTTAATTATTCTATACAACAATCAGGAAGTTGGCATGTTAGTTACCATAAAAATGGTTCATATAAAGTCTTGAATTAAGCAGCTTTATCTGCACAACAGCATGCTGATATTTCAGCCAAATGGCTACAGGAGGAAATCTGGCCTCAGATTTGAGAGACAAAAAAGTTAAAAGGGTGGCCAAGACCCAAGAAAAATTCCCAACTGATTTAAACCGGTTCCCAAAATCAGGGTTTTAATGATGTCTGCTTCCTCTGTTCGGATGGATGTGGTTTCAGTGGCAGAGCATTCTGGGAGATCTGACTTTTAAAAGAGAATCATTAAAAGACCAGACAGAGGAAAAGAGCAACATCCCTCTTGTGAAACATGAAAGATGGTTAGCGGTGGATTGAATCTGAGCAGGACTCGTTGAAATCAGATTTGTCAGAGGGAGGCTCGTTCCCAGCGGAGCTGGAGCTCTGTCTCTGTCTCCTCTGAAGGATGAGTTAGAGAAAATATTAACAGTTCTGATCTAAATCCAAATTTGACAGAAATTCAAACCCACAAATCAGAGAATATGATTGCCTCAAAAGTAGACGGTCTGTAGTGTTTTCATCTCTTGAGTCACCTAAAGTCTCTGTCCTTGGTTCCAGTCTTTTCCACTTAGTTTAGGGCTGTGATCCAAAGGTTTGAGCCGGTTCTAAACCACTTGAGGAAAACATTTGCTGTAATTAAGGTGAGGGGATCCAGGTTCTCCCTAGATCTACACCAAGCGGCCAAAGCATCCAGCTTTAACAGCCAAGCGGAGTGGAGAGCTGAGCCCTGCAAAAACAGCTTATTTAGGGTTAAAAATCATGTCAAAAGGCTCTGAGCTGTTCCAAATCTAACGGCCCAATGAATCCTAATACTGAAAAACCCTCCCCACAGCCCACAGAGCTCTCAGGATTTGCAAAGGTCACAGTAAAAAACACTCCAGGACACCTTCAGATGTTCTCTTAGCATATTTTGACTGCTCAGAAGAGGTTATAATGTAATGGCTGATTGGTTTTAACCTCCTGCAACCCGTCATTTACATATTGTTCCTAAAGGATAAAAACGCCACATTCAAGATGGCAGAGAAGCCAAAACAAAACTTGTTTGGAAAGCAGGGGACCTCAGTTTTATGTTGCTTGATCTTTAAGTAGCTCAAGGAGTTCAAACTGTATAAAACAAGCTCCAGGAGTAACTAGAACTGGTGGTCTAAGATGATTTAAGACTTGTAATACATATATTATATACAGTGGGGGAAATAAGTATTTGACCCCTTGCTGATTTTGCAGATTTGCCCACTTACAAAGAATGCTTATTTTTCCTCATCAGATGGTTATCAATTTTTATAAATTCATATGATGTGATTTTCTGGAATTTTCTTTGGGATTCTGTCTTTCACTGTTAGAATGTACATATGATTAAAGTTATAGATCGTTGCATTCATTGTAAGTGGGCAAACCTGCAAAATCAGCAAGGGGTCAAATACTTATTTCCCCCACTGTACATATATTTGATTGTTTAATAGGTTGAGTCTGTCTCAAACAAATGACTGGGCCTTTCTTTGCTGGCAGCTCGAGGTGTTCCTCACTCAGAGGATAACTGAGATGGGAGAGGAGGGGGATGTGGTGGCTATGAGCCAGTTCCAGCTGGCCCCCTCGGTCATCCAGAACCAAACCCGCGAGCGTGTCCGGGAGATGCTCTCCGAGGTGCGAGATCTTTTGGGCCGGCTCACCTCTCTGAGGATGCAGCACCTGTTCACCATCCAGGCCTCGCCACGGTAAGCCGAAACCAATCGCACCTCACCCCTAAACACAGAGAGGCGAACTGAAGGCCAGAATCAGAATCAGAAATACTTTAATAATCCCGGAGGGAAATAATTTTTGTTACAGGCTCCATAAGGAAAACAAAGGCATATACAAAGGCATATACAAAGGCATATACATATATACATGTCTATACATATATACATATATATATATACAAAATTCCTCATATGAAGGCCAAATTGAAGGCCAGAATGAGCATTTTCATGTTTAGAGTAGCTGCATAACATTAGTTATAACTTCATACAACTTCAATGAAACCAATATAGCAATATATTGGATAACTATTTCGATTGATGTGATAACAGTTAATAGATAAATCTACAACAAAAAAAATTAAGATTGAACCTTAAAAGGCAGTTCTAATGCAATAAAAATGTTTTGAAATCCTGATTTGTTCAAAATGGTGAAACACTGAGAGCTAATTTAAATGTCAGAGTGAATTAAACGCCTCGTGATGCACTCTGAGGCAAAGGCGAAGACACAAAGTGTCCTCAGTGAGCTCCACAAGGCTTAAAGGGAAGAAAAGCTGCTAAGAAGCCGTTACTGAGGCCTGCAAACATCCACCAACAGCATGAGGACTGGATCTGATGGAGGAGCTAAGGCAAAGTCCATCTGGGAATCAGGAGATTCAGAGACTGATCACACAAAAGTTTCATCCAGAGCCAGAACAGCTGAGAACTCTGATGGACTAAATAACAAGAGAAACTGTCAGAAAGGAGAGAAAAGCAAACAGAGGAAGAGTGGAAGCTGTTATCAAGAGCTGAGAGATGAAGTTTAAGCTGATTCTGGGAGGAAAAGGAGCCTTTAGCTGCTCTAAATTAGTGTATGTGCCAAATATAAACCAACCTGTTTTAAAGAGATTTTTTTTAAAGATTTCTTTAGAAAAGAAATTGTGTATTCTCGGTTTTATAATATAAACTTGATAAATGTCTCAATCACTGTATATAGTTTTATAAGGCGTGATCAACCTTTTGGTCAGAGGTGTCTTTATATTTGAGCATGCTCACTAATTACATAATTCATTGGGTTCATGCAGAAATTGTAATGTTTGTGATGTGCAGAATCAACAGCTGTAAGAGTGGTGAAATCCCAGATAAATATGTCATTCTTCTGTGTGTCAAACGCGTTCAGCTATGTGGAGCGAGTGTCGGAGGTGCTGAGACAGAAGCTGAAGCAGGCAGACATCCTGGTGCTGAAAGCTGCCACCATGGCTGAGAGGAGGCAGGAAGCCTTACAGGAGCAGTCCCGGCTGGAGCCTCGTGTTGACCTGCTGGCAGGCCGCACCCAGGAACTCCAGAAACTGGTATTAGATTACTTTTCCTTTTATTTATGTTCACTGGGATGGTACTTTCCAGTCTAGGAGGTTGAGAAAGCACCACATACTGAAAGTCTAAACCCATGTCATAAGACCCGTTTTAAAATAACTGAGGGTTATGCTCAGTATGATGCAATACAAGGGCATTATTTCTACATCTATAATGTTTACAGCAGCCTTTTTTTGTTTGTGTTTCTTTCAGATTGAAGCCGACATTTCAAAGCGATACCACAACAGACCCGTGAACCTGATGGGAGTTCATATTTAGTGAACCTCAAAGAATGTTGTCGTGGTCCATGAATACAATTAAAAAGTGGTATTTAATTGAAGCCCTTGTGGTTTGAGGGTTTTGTTGATTAATGCAAAAACAGAGAGAGGATCCGGAGCCTATCCCAGCTGTCATTAGATGAGAGGCGGGGTTCCACCTTGATGGGTCAGTACATCACACAACCATATCACCTACTCTAATGGGCAATTTACACTCCCCATTTAACCCAACATGCATGTTTTGGAGGGCGAGAGGAAGCAAAAAAAAAAAAAAAATGCCCTCAGGAAATAATCTAATTATCTTTTTATCAAACCTATCACAGCCCCACAATATTCTTAAATAATACATCATAAATAAAGTGTAACCTACATTTTACACAAACAAGATGAGGAAAAAGCGAGAACAGCAATATTGTTTATAGTTTTCTTGAAGGATAATTGAGCCTTTTTAAGGAAAAATAACAAACAAATCTCTGCATCTTGTTATGTCTCATCCTAATTATTTTGTTTAGATAAAAAATATACATGTTCGAATAAACATGAGGAAATGTATGATTGATATCAAACTCACTGATGTAATTTGCTTCTGTATTTGTTTAATTTATCGAGAAATATCGAATAAAAAAATGAATTGTTTGAATAAATAAATTGATAAATCAATGAAGGTTGGCTTTAAATGTAGTATTAACCACTTAATTAACACCATGTGAAAAGTTATATTATAGTCGACTTTTTTTTTTAATCATGATTACGCATTCATGAAACCTATATTGTGAGATTTGGTCTTTTTATATTTTTTTAAAAAAGCAAGTCGGGTTAATGACTCCAGTCTGTGTTATTATCACCGGAGGGGGAATTTTCCGTCGGCTGATGAAAGCTTAACACTAGAATGTTCTGCGCATGCTCCGTGTACGCGTGTTTTGGTGTCAAGCGGCGCTACTAAGCTAGCCGGCCAGCTAGCAATTTTGCAAGTCATGGTGGGCCAAACAGCGAAGGGAGGCTGTACAATGTTATACCGGGCAGCAGTGTGGAGCTTTTAATGTAACCGGGCAAGCCTATCCGTCTTAGGTGATAGTGGCCTTGTGGGCATGAAGACACAGTTGCTAAATCTTCATGCGTAAGTATTACAATTTAGAGGTTTTCAGTTAATTATCGCGTGTACGGATACGTGATTTATAGTGTGTGGAGACACTATGCTAATAACAGCAGACAATATTAAAAAAAAAATTGGGTGAATGACTAAACACAGTTGTACGTCTTTCTTTTTTTATATTATAAACAAGTGACTTTTGGTGGCATGCGGCTAAATGGTGACGGAAGTTAGCTGTAAACTAGCTTGTAAAGCTAGCACAGACTAGGAGTTGACTTCCACTTTAGCATTTTCTTTTTGCAACGCCCAGGCCTCTTTCTCATTGGTCAGGAGTGGCTGGAGTCATGTGTCGTGGCCGCTTTGGAGGCCTGTGATTGGCTGCGCACTCACTCACTCATCTCCTCACCACTTGTTGCTAGGGAGATTGTTTGACGCTAGCTACAGCGGAAGTAAAGAAGTAAATATTAGCAGCGGCACCTGTCAATTTCTTGGGGTAAATGTAGACACCATTTGACAGTTTAATATAAAGACACTTCTAATCGTTGTTACTTTTTGTTATGCAGTAGTTGGATATGTGTGTATATATGTGTGTTACAACAGTGGCCGGTTGGCAAAGCACAAGGTAGCTAACAGCAATCGTCATAAGGACAAAGATAGGCGCAGCTGTGCGGGAGGAGGGAGGGAGGGACCCTTCCTGCCTGGCTGCCACCTAACGTTGTCGTTGGTCCGGCGAGTTTTCTCGACTCTCTCATTCACCTTCAGCGGCATCCACCAGAAGTAGTTGTCCTCTGAAGGGTGGGGTGATGCTTGAAGCCCTGAGCCCGGTCCTGTCTTCGGTGCTGGAAAGGCGTTGCGTGGTGTGATCCGACACCACTTCTCCGGTTCTTGGGAGGATGGAGTGGCTCCGGGGGGCTTGCAAGTCTGGTTTTTCATTAACATGTGTTTAACGCAAACGTGGAGGCTAGACCTGCGTGTCTTGGGGCTAAAGGCAGCGCGATATTGACGCGTGGGCAGATGTGATTTGCTAAAGTGAGGCTGAACGTTATTTCTTTATTTTTTGTCAGGAATGGGAGGATGAAAACCTTATGAAGAAGTAACCCCACCGGCTGGACTCTTGAGAAGTGGAAAGCCCGGCTTGGATCTTGCATCTAAACGCACCTAATCCTGTTCAAGACCCTTTCCCCTCTTTTAATCACTTTTTTATGTTCATGTTTCAGTTTCTGTCTCTTAGTGTTAGCACAGAGTTGTCGATCGAAGGTACTTTGCCCCGTTTTTGTTTTTATCCTTTACTTTTACTTTTTGTTCCTTTGTAAAGAAATGCTTTACCTGAAAAAGTACTTCACAGAGGGCCTGATTCAGTTCACCATCCTTCTGAGTCTCATTGGGGTGCGGGTGGACGTTGACAGCTATCTAAACAATCAGCTGCCCCCATTAAGAGAGATCATCCTGGGGCCTAGCTCAGCCTACACCCAGACACAGTTTCACAACCTGCGCAACACGCTGGACGGCTATGGAATCCATCCAAAGAGTGTGGACCTCGACCATTTTTTCACCACAAGACGGTTGCTGAATCAGGTGCGCCAGTTGGATCGCCTCTTCGTGCCCAGCACCGAGCTCAACACCTGGCTTGTGCACCGGGACTCTGAGACCGTGGTGTCTGCCAGCAGCCAGACCAGCTCCAGCATCACCCTGGACAATGGGGCCGGCCTAGAGGACGTTAACAACATCGACGCTACCCCGGCCATGAGGGGAGGAGGTGGAGCAACTGAATCCACGTACAACTTGAACGCAGCGGACAGCAGCCTGGGAGCCGTGGCCCCCGAGGGCAACCAGGAGCAGGGCAACAGGGAGGGCAATGACGACCTCACTAAAGAGGTAACTCACCATGTCTCTGATTACCTCATCTAGTCTCATCACCTCTGTACTGATAAGCCTTTTTGTGGTCTGATAAAAAAAGAGTCATCCTAAGTATTGAAGGTGTGGCAAAGAAAATGATTCTCTATGGTCAAATATTTTTGCTCAAACTAGTTGAGTTGCATTCATAGCGTCTGTCAGAGTGCAACTTTGTTGTGCACACCCCTCAATTTACCAACAAAATTGACACAAAGACCAAATAAATGGTTTCACTTGTCTTCTGTGCGTTTAAGTTTATTTTTACTTGTCACAAGTCGTCAGACCCATTTGAAACGCACGAAATATCAACATTTAAGCAGTGAGTTGGGGCTTAGCACAGAACAAGAGTCTTTCTCTTTGATCATATGATAGCCACCATTTCAAATAATTTGTCATGGTTGCATCATCTGATTTGTGTTAAATGATTATCCACAGCAATGAAAGAAAAACAGGTTGTATAAAACATCCAAAAGGCCACTTTTGAGCTCAATAATGGTTACAAACGACCTGCTAGTTACAAAATTGTTCTCAGTGGTCGCTGTCTTCTCCCCAGGACATTGACCTGATTGACATCCTATGGCGACAGGACATCGACCTTGGTGCGGGAAGAGAGGTGTTCAACTACAGCAACCGTCAGAAGGAGAGCGAGGAGGACAAGCCCAGCCCCCAGGAGAGCAAAGACGGCAACGAGGAACAGGAAAGCTGGAGAAATGGCGTGAACCTACAGGGTGCTCAGCCAGTCGACGGAGAGACCGGGGAGAGCATTCCCGAGCAGGTTTGTTCAGACTGCTTTGCTTCAGAGAGAGTTTGTGGTGTCAGGTTTCCTGAGTTTGGAGAGGTTTCAGGTTGGTTTATTCCACCTGGTGCCTGAAAAATGGTGGGCTGGTAATTTATGGCCATCTGCAGAGTTGCTCTGTTTTTATGAGCCTTTCATCAGGTGCTGAGTCACAACAGCCAATGAGTTCGGACCAGCAGGTGTAATCACATGTGGTTCTTTGTTCCAAATCACTTCACGATTTCAGGGAGATTTATCCCATGCACCAGCCAGTATTTAAACCACCACTGTGTTTTTGTTTTTTTGTTTATGAAAACCCTTCATTATGCAGCCGCGGGCCATTTTTACTCAACTTTGATCTTCAGGGGAAGATTTTTCTCAGAAGTAATTTCAATTGGTTGGCTGAAAGTTATAAATAATAAAAATAGAGTATTATGTGAAATAGAAGTGTTACTTTATCACAATGAGGCAGAAAGTGCAAAAACAGAGAAAGGGAAATATAAAAAAACACAAAATGGAAATATAAATTTGTAGTAAGAATCACTACATGTAAAAATTTAAGCAATAAATAGATTGTGACAATGTAAGACAAAATAAACAAATACAAGATGAACAAGTTAACAAAGAAGTTTAAAAAAAATTATAAATAGAATTATAAATAAGTCACAAATGAGATAAATAGAAAATGAACACAGAATTAAGTAAATGTTTTTCAAAACTAAAGCAGAAAATATATTCACGTCAGATTCTACTGTTATTTTAGTGTAAACTATTTATTTATGTAGAATTATTGTTTGATTTGGCCTTTTAAACATGTGTGTACTTATTCTAGATCATGAGAGAATTATTCCTTAATATTTTTTAGCTCCTCGATGAAAGCAGGATCTTTAAACCTTCTGCATTGCAGTTGTGTGGTGAAAGGTTAAGCGCACAAAAGCAGCACAGGAACACACCCTTAGAGATAAAACATCAGTAAAACCTCAGCTTAAATGACAATTCTCCATTTTTGCCTTTAAGACGTTCAGCGAAACGCAGAAGGATCTTCTCCTAGACACAACATATGAGGAGTAATTGGCTTTATTTTCCATATTTGGGTTTCTATCTGTGTTATAAACACAGAAAAAGCCAATTAAGTTATGTTTTTCCTCAGGGGAGCGTCCCTCAACTTTCAGAGAAACCCTAGAGCTGTTTGATCTGAATGCGGCTGATGGCAAATTGGTGGTTTTAATGTGACTGATAGTAAGTGGCACCAGTAGCATTTTCCACTTTACATGAGACAAAATGGTATTTACTTCACCACAGGAGCCAACTAGGTTCAGAGCATTTACACGGATGTGTGGCATGAGAACCAATCAGGCCAGAGAAAAGCTAGAAAAAGGGCAGCTGGACAGATGTTGTCTCTCATAATCTGACCGTCAAAATCCAGCTGTTCTGCAGGTTTTAGATTTTTCCTTCATTGTTAAAGCAAAGAAACCCCTAAAACCGATTGGACAGTGGCCCTCAAAGACCCGAGTTAGACATCCCTGCTGTAAACGTTAGCATGAGCCAAGCTGAAGTTTTCCATTTGGCCTAGTGTGGGAGCTGAAAGCCTAACTCTGTCGGCCAGTAGGCAGCAGATCAGAAACCCCCCAAAGAGGGGGATTTCTTTGCCTGTGCAATCAAACCTCAAAGCGGTAAAGCTCGCACTGAGTTTCCAAACAGGTTTTCCCCTCGACATAAGCGCTCAGCTCTGTAAGGCCCAGCCGAACCCTTTTTTTCAGGGAGATCAAACGGAGATGCTCATTAATCCATTTAAACGCCGCCCTGTTGGAGGAAAGGGAGGGAACTGGCATTTATCATCAGCTCTAGATCACAAGTGTCCCCCAGAAAGGTGGAAAGTTGCCAGAATTAGTTTAGCTATTGTTCTTTTTATTATTTGTTTCTTCAAAATAAAGCCAAAAGATGTCATTGATGGAGCCAAAGTGTAGTCAAAGCTCTCTTCTGTGTGTTTTGCCCCCAGCTGCCCGGTCTTGGCTCCCAGACTTCTCTGTCTCTACAGGAATGCTTGAGGCTGTTGGAGGCCACATTCCCCTTTGGAGAAGAGGCTGAGGTAAGAATCCAGCATTCACCTGTGTGAAATTAACCCTTTGAAGCCTGATCCAAGACAAATAGGAAGAATATTGGATTTTTTTTAGTCTGAAGTCTTTCTTTGGCCCCTCAACGTGAAGAAAAAAAACAGAAATTATTTTGATCAAATTAGCATGCAATAAGTCAAAAATATATTTTGGTGTAGTCTTCTACTGGCTGTTATCAGGTATATCTGAATGTGTACAACAGGGGTTTGAGCAAAGCTTTTACCATTGAATGATGCAAAAAGTCTCAGATCCAAAAGACTTCAGAAACCGTATGAATCAAATATGATACATTTGGCATTATAGGGTTACCCCCCCCACCTTCTTACTTTTAAGTGTTTTCAGTAACATTGATGCATTGTCCTATTAGTTCCCAGCGCCCGTTGTTACAGCGGAAATACAAATTTCCAATGAAGAAGTCCCCTCCACCTCTCAGGGCCTCCCCCTGGCGCCCCAGCTGCCCCCGGCAGAGCCTCAGTTAGACCTGGAGCAGCAGTGGCAGGACATCATGGCCATCATGGAGCTACAGGTGAGGCCTGGGGTGGGAAGTTTCTCTAAGAGCAAAAGCGTTCTACAGAATCCATCAAAGAGCCCCTTTTTCTAACAGGGAACTCTCTTGTTGCTGCATCCAAGAAATGGAAAATAAGAAGAAAACGGTGCATAAAGTTGAACTAGTAGTAATAATGATGATGATGAGAATAAGAAAGTAAAGCAGCCTACATTGTGGTAGTTACGTCAAAAGATTAAAGGGATCTCATATTATTTGCAACGTATGATGTAGGAGGGCTCATTTAGTGGAAATCAGAGCTGGTTCTGGAGGCAGAAAGCAGAAAGTGTGAGTAGTTTCCTCTGGTTCTGGTCAGAGGCTCATAGATGGAAAACCTCCTTTTGATCTGAAGCATTTCAGGGGTTTTGAATGGCAGCAGACAGTCCAGCTGTTGTCCTCCAGCTCAGAATGGCTGTTTCCTAAAGCAGGAAGTCTAAAATGATCCACAGCTCTGAGTTCCAGCTTTTAGTCGACTGGTTTCAGCTCAAAGTTTCCTTCATTTCTGGATGCTGGAACAGAGCTGATTTCCAGGAATTGAAGCCTCTTTCAGGAGGAAAACCACTTTAACTCTGAGTTCTCTGGACTCTAGTTTGGATCAGAGGCTCATGTGTTGATTTATGATCACAGTATTTGTTATTTCCAGGCAGTTTAAGACAAAGAAACCTGTCATTTTATTCTTCGAAATGCATCAGATTTACCAGGTTTATGAGAGTTTAATCAGTAAAAGCAGAAAAAGGTTGGGACATTTTGAAATCTGGTCAAGCTGACCTGAAGATAACAGGGGGGGGTTTAGAGAGTGGTGTAATCTTACTTTTAAACTCTTTGTTCGAAGGCAATGGAGGTGAACAACTCTTCGGTCCCGAGCGACTCCGGCAGCGAGAGCGCCCCCGACGGGACGCCCGACTCCAACGCAGGAGGAGGCTTCGGACTCCCCGCCCACTCCACGCCCATCAACCAGGATGTCAGCCTGCACCAGGCCTCCCTCCCCAGCTGCAGCCAGGACTTCCCCCAGATTTTCACCCCCCAGCTGGAGCCTGTCAGCGCCCCCCCGAGGACCGGCATGCTCACGCTGTCCTCCAGCAACTCCACCAACATCAACTCCACTTTCGGAGCCACGAACCTGACGGGGATCTTCCTGCCGCCGCACGCCAACAGCTCCAGCAACAACAACGATAACAACGTCACCTCCACGCCGGTGCTCCCGGACCCCTTCACCTCCCTACTGGAGGAGTCCATGCTGGACGAAATCAGCCTGATGGACCTGGCCATGGAGGAGGGCTTCAGCCAGGCGCAGGCGTCCCAGTTGGAGGACGAGCTGGACTCGGATTCGGGTCTGTCCCTGGACTCCAGCCACAGCCCGGCCTCGCCCAGCAGCTCCGAGACCTCCTGCTCCTCCGCGGCCTCCTCCTCCTCCACCTCCGCCACCTTCTCGGAGGAGGGCGCCGTGGGCTACAGCACTGACTCAGAGGCGGCGGCCGCGGAGGCGGAGGAGGGCGCCGTGGGCGGGTACCAGCCCGAGTACAGCAAGCTCTGCCGGATGAGCTACCAGGACCCCTCGCAGTTCCACGGCCTGCCCCAGCTGGACGGCGTCAGCCACAACCACACCTACAACCTGCCGCTGGCCTCCGGCCTGCCCGAGCGCGCCGAGCTGCCCGCGCCCGGCGGGAAGAAGACGCCCCGGGACAAACACGGCTCCAAGCTGCAGCCCGCCCAGGACCTGCTGGACAAGCACGCCAGCAGGGACGAGCGGCGGGCGAGGGCCATGAAGATCCCCTTCTCCAACGAGAAGATCATCAACCTGCCCGTGGAGGAGTTCAACGAGCTGCTGGCCAAGCACCACCTGAGCGAGGCGCAGCTCGCCCTCATCCGAGACATCCGGCGGCGCGGCAAGAACAAGATGGCCGCCCAGAACTGCCGCAAGCGCAAGCTGGACGCCATCATCAACCTGGAGCAGGGCGTGCAGGACCTGCGGCGCGACAAGGCCCGCCTGCTGAAGGAGAAGATGGAGTTCATCCGCTCGCTGCGGCAGATGAAGCAGAAGATGCAGAGCCTGTACCAGGAGGTGTTCGCCCAGCTGCGGGACGAGGAGGGCCGGCCCTACCCCCCCAGCCAGTACTCGCTGCAGTACAGCGCCGACGGCAGCGTGCTGCTCATGCCGCGGGGCGTGGCGGCCGCCGAGCAGAACCGCAAGCCCGAGAAGAAGCAAAAGGACAAAAAGAAGTGAGGGGCGGGCCGGCTGCCGTTATTCTATCACTTTGCTAAATCGGTAAAGATTTCTGCAGATGCAAAAAGAGATGTCCCTTTTTCCTTTTAAGAAGATTCTGGTGAGTAGAAAAATGGCACTGACTACTTCTTCTGCGTTAGTTTCTCCCTTTTTCTCTCTACATTTTCTCCCCTTGAAACAACTTTGAAGCAGAGGTAGCTCCTCCGAGTTCTGATGTTTCACTATTTAGACGAGGAGAAGAAGAGGGATATGAAAGGACACCAAAAGAGCTTTTAGAAAAAGAAAAGAAAAAAAAAGTTAGCTGTTCTCGATCCTTTTGCATCAAACCACTGAGGGTGGAGGTTTGTAGGGTAAAAGAAGGGACTGGCATGGTGAAGCAGGGGTAAACAAACACTGGCGACGGGATTGGTTGGAGTACCTATGCACCGGGGTTAAACGACCATCAGATCACATCTCACCCTGGAGACTTTCAGTGTTTCTGTTTGTTCTTTTTTTGTTTTTCTTGGGTCACCGAGGCGTCTTGATTTCCAATTTTCTGGCTGAGAAAAACACCTGGAAGTTTTGAGAGTTTAGATACCAAAGGATAAAGGAAGTCCGTTTTTTTAGGATGCCATATGGGTGCGCATCCCAAAAACTCTGCAGGTTTGTGCTGCAAATTCTACTTTCTGAGTCGGAGTGTCGGTGGCGTCTGAGTGCAAAAGGCTGGACATAAGTCAGGTTTGATGGAAGTCGGGTGTTGGGATGAGAGGAGTGAGGGCGGGCTGGCCTAAAGGGGCCTGGAGAGGAAGCCCAGCCAGAGGAGCAGAGGCATATTCTTTGTGAGGAGGCGCGTTGCATTGCAAAATGTATCGACTTCCCTATAAATTATACATAGCACTGTAATTTGTCTTTTAAGAGGCTTGGCTGTTTGCATTTTGCTGTGTCTGTTGCTATCCTTTCGCTGCAGGTTTAAATGCGGGAGCTGCGATTAGGGAGGCTCTTATTAACTCTTCATATTCTGTAGTATAAGCAAAAGTCAGAAGTCTAGCCACATCAGCTTCACATACGAGTCCACTCCTTCTTTGTTCGTAGGGAACAGCGTGGAGTCACAAGAGAAATCAGGCAAACTGTGACGGGCCGGAGCTCTGGAGAGTTCTGAATGGTTTCAGCTCGGTCCAGCTATCAGCCCGGTCGCTTTTATCCGGTCATTGGTTAGTTTAGCTACCCTGGATGCCCCGTTTACGCGTTAACACGACGCAGGCTGCAGTGTAGACAGCAAAATCTCTTTAAAGTAACTCATTTGCCAACTTTACCTTAAAGAAAGCCATTTGAGGTAATTTTTAACCTGCTGTGAAGCCGAGGGGTTTTGGCTTTAAGTCCTGCCTTTTGGAGCGTTTGTGTTGACAAAGTGAGCCACGTTGTTACTTGAGATGCGAGTTATGCGAACGTGTGGAACGGCGGTGTGTGTTGTGGCCGCTTTGAGTTGAATGCCTTTATTTAAAATCCCATCAACTTCACTTTAAAAAGGTTTTGAGAACCGAAGAGGAGCGTTCTCAAAGTAGAAGTGCTATTACTCGTCTATATGAATGAAGTTTGTCGGTGCGTGTGTTGCATCACCCGTTTAAAAAAAGAAGAAGAAACTCATCCTAAAATAGGTCTGTTGTTGCAGCTGAGGTAGCGGTTAGGCTAGAATATTTACAAGAGGCTGAGCAGCAATCGCAACGTTACGACCACGTCCAAAAAACCCTGTTTTGAAATGAGAATTGTCCTCATTAAATGTGATATTCAGGCATGAAACTCTGATTAGCATCACATCCGTGGAACCCAGTGCAACACCAGTTATTAAGCACTGCTACTACTTAGTGCACTTTTTTTGTCTGTCTTGTTATGTAAATATTTTCATGTTTGTGTTTGTTATGATTTCCGTAGTTTGTCAACATGTCTCCATAACAGTCTCACCCTCTGCTTTGAGTTTGGATGTAGTTCCCTGTTTTGAGATATTTGCTGGCAATCAAGAATTGTTTTTATTGATTAATAAAGTGTTTTTATTTTCACCTGTGACTCTTGTGCTGGTTGTCTGTGCTTTTTAATGGAGGGGCGTGGGGTTTGTGGGATGTGCCTCTGACATTAAAACCCCGGTGGGAGCTCTCGGATTGACTGTGAATGAGAATGAAACTCAGTGCAACAGGTGGGAGCCTGAAAGGAGCACTGGAGAAGTTTGAGAACATTAAAATGTGTGCTGTGTACGTTCCCAGGCTCACAGCTTCGGTTTCCGGCCTTACGACTCACCGTTCGCTTTAATTTGCTGTAAAAATGAGCTTTTTGTGGCCTCAAACATGTAAAAGAATTCCTGCTTGTGTGGAGTAACAGCCCACAGCTGCAGGGGGCGCCAGAGAGCAGAGCGTTTCCGTGGTTACTGTGTTGACTGAATACCTTACAGAGGTTCAAAGATGTCATTGTACCACCAAAGAAGATTTACGGACCTCTGAAAACAACCCTGGGTTTTTGAACCGGTTGTTTTTATGTCTTAAACTGATTTAATCTGTTCTACAATGCCGATATTCACTTTGATTTGGTCTGAAATCGAGGTCATTTCCTGTAAAAATGGCAGAGAGACACTGAGGCCCTTTTCTGAGTGATGTTTTTAAGAGCTTGAAGGACTTAAAATCAAGCAGATCTTGACATTTTTGAACAATTAACCCATCACAACCCGGTAAAGGGGATAGAAAACTGACCCTCTGGGCTTTAATGAGATGGAAATCTCTTTGCAGTCTGTAGTGATTGTGGTTTTGTTGGTGCGTTCTGTTTCTCACCCGGGGTCCTCACAGCTACATTTTTTCCTCCTTTTGCTGCCTGATTTGAAAGAATGGGTGTTCCTCAGCCCTCTAAGGAGCAAGACCCCTGGAAAAGGTGCGGACGTTGATTCTTAAAGGACTTCTTTTTACGAGTCTGTGAAATAAACTTTTGTTTAATTAGTAAAGACCAAAGACAACTCCCTTCAGGCCTCTTCCAGCCACCAGAAAGAGGGCCGAGCTGTGTTTAATCTGAAGCAAAAAGATGGCCGCCCTTTTATAACAAAAAGTGGTTTATTCTCCAAAAGCGACAAGCAAGACGTAAAGAAAAACACTACAGAGATTACAATGATGAAATGAATCACAGAGACTGATTTGTAAGCGTACACCAAACGAGTTTCTACAGAAAACAGCAAAGACGAACTCGGCTCTGCCCCCCAGAAGTACCGAGAAACCGAGTTCTGGAAAGAAATGGCACGATTTTAAAAAGGAGAACATCACCTCACCGCTACGCAGTCAGTGCGTCGTTCAGTCCTTCCTCTGCTTTTCATTCTTTGAGTTTATGTTTGGGTCAGGAAAAAATAAGGGGAAATCTGATTGGAGGTTTAATCTGATTTGGGCTGGCCGGGGGACAAAGCCAGTTCCTCTCCCTTCCATTGAATTAGCCGGTAGTAGTTGTGTCTTTGCTGTGAGCGTG